CGGATCAGTGCACTCAGACTCATCTGATACGATGCTTTAGTGACATGTCACCAAAAAGGTCTGTCACGCTGAAGCTCAAAGAAGTACAAAGATACTTAGGTCAGAAATGTCCAAGACCAACGTTATAACCTTTAAATGTTTCCTATTTCAATGACGTCAAGTGTTTGAGTAAAAAACCTCAATCAGAAAAAAATCAGTTATATTATATAATATTCTACATTATGTTTTGCACATTGATCCTGTTCAAGCTCATTTTTTATTTCCCCAAATATATGAACTATTTCAGCCTCAGGCTAGAAAAAGCAGCAGGTTGTGACTGTGTGCAAAAGATGCTCTCAGATAATCTACAGAGAAAGAATGTTCAATGGAAACACATTTACAGAAGTGTTTGGACCTAAATGGAAGATTTGTGTAGAAATAGATTTGTTATTTTCTTCCTTTTTCCACCTGTTTGTCTCACAAAATTTGCCTTTACTCTGACTGCATATTTACATCTGACTACAGACTGCCGCTGAGCAGTATTATTTTCACGTCTTTCTCCTGAACATTTTCCGAGTGAAGTCTCTCTTCTTTTAAGTGAGCTCTGACAGCTAAGCAGACAGTGGAAATGATCTTTTACAACAGTTTCTGTGTTTAAATGAGTCACATTTGTCACAAAGACAACAACGTCTCCTGTAACTGATTCAACATAAAAGTGCTCCTGTTTCGCAATTCCCTAAAAAAAAAAAAAAAGAGAACTCAAATGTCGCAGTTTCCTAAAAAAAAAAAAAAAAGATATCTTCAGTCTTTGATAGTAGAACTCAAATTGAAAAGTCTCATCATTAGAGGGTTGATCTAACACGTGCACACGAGCATCGGTGATTTGGGCTGAGTTATGTCAGGGTTCTGTTCCTTCAATTTTTGTTGTAAGTTGAAACAGTACCTGTGTCACTCACCTACGCTGTGGTGACATCATAATCTAGGACATATAAACATCAGAAGACTCTGACTTACACCTGGAAGCCATAATGAAGGGCATAGTGTTCCCAAAAAACCAACACAAACGAACGAAAGCAAGCGTAGCACCGCCGAATGTAAACAAAGATGTCGTCCGCGTACAGTGCCATGTGATGAAGTACTTTTCTGCTCCACTCAGCAACTAGTTTGCACAGAAACTAGTTGTTATTATAAGATGGAGACACACTCCCTCAGTAGAAACTCTGCGGCCTGAGATGAAGCTGATCCACAGCCTTCATAGAACCACTCTGCTCTTTCGGGTTGCATTTTCTTTCTTCTTCTATTGTTTGTTTCTGTGACTCATAATTTAAATCCCAACTATTCCGGACTTTGGGAAAATAAACACTATTCAGTGAATATTTTTATAATGGTAACAGAAAAATTGCTTCAGAGCAAAGTGAACACGAGAGGGAATTGTGAGGGCGTAGCTTTCAGTAGATAATCCTCCCCTGTATGAGTCACTTGGCACCTCTGAATTGCCATCCAGAATAGAACACGTATTATGAGACATTTTCACACCCATCCGGTTTATACAGGACACGCTGCAGTGTTCGAGCATGATGAGCCAATGACAGAGACAACGATGATTCCACTGGAGGCTCTTCATCGTCGATCACATGTGCTGTGCTTCAATACATCATTATCGTTGCATCATCCCCCCCCCCCCCCCCCCCCGAGTGGCCGACACGTTCTAGGGAAACGTCTCCTCGTGTGTGACTTTTTGATCAAAGCAGCCACCTAAGTGAAACGGGCCGCACTCTCTACGTGTCTGAGATGCAGATGAAATTCTCCAATTTTTACATCAACCTTGCAGAAACACGGTGGCGCCATCCAAACAGTTACATGATCGTTCTCCTCCTGTGCATTTTTTTCCCCCTTCTTTCTCCGTGTGTGTCTCCGTGTGTTGTTTTGGAAAATGTAAAACCCTGCCCAGTGATTTGCATAAGATGTAGAACCAGAGCCATACATGGATGCATGCTAAGCCTTTCATGTGCTGGTCTTTCCCTCCCACCGTAAATCTCGGCACCTGTGTGTGTGCATGTATGTGTGTGTATGTGTGTGTTTGTGCATGTAAATTTATCACATCCTAAAAAAGGAGGCAAGTCTTTTACTATTTTCACCAATCAGACTCAATATATATAAATTCCGGCTTTATTCTTGCTAATATTACTTTAGTATTACTATCCCAGTATTACTGTACTAGTGTTAGCATTATAGTATTACTGTACCCCAATATTCAGACACAACTAAGTTGATTTTTTAATCAACTTAGTTTGTTCTCGTTGCTTTATTTCCCACTGCCCACTAGAAGATTCTAAAATCGTTGTAGCCGTAAACGTAGGTGAAGCGTTTATTACGCTTTGGTAAGAAAATTACATTTACCAACAATATTTGGAAATTATACAAACTTTAAGACATAGTTGGATGTTATTTGTTTGGCTCCAGGTGGAAGACATATGTTATATAACAAATATTTCTTTGTTTATGAAAATATAAAAATAGGTCTAGACCTATTGTGTTTTTGAGTTGTTTTCACAACGTGAACCAGCAGCAGGGCTGATGGGTTCTGGTCACAGTGGCTGCTGTAGCTGCAGCTCAGTTTTATAATTTATGAAGAAAATAAAATGGTAAACAGGAGTGCCTGAAAATGATGCAAATGCTTGAATTTAGAATATTTTGCTGGACAATAATTTTACTTACATTTCTTATTCAACAGTGTATTTACAGCTGAGACTTCATATTCCAGCGTTTTGTTTCCAATCCCCTCTAGAAGAACACATTTGCATTCATTTTCGATTATAGAACAAATGAAAATGCATATCTGTGTTACCTGCAGGTGACGCTCTGGAGTTAAAGTCAGCTCTTTAGTCAGTGAAACACATACTGCAGCCGATACTGCAGGGCTTAATGGGAAAGACTTGAGCATCAGGAACAATTTGTGAAAAGCTGAGTGCAAAGGAAGTGGTTTAAGGCTTTGACAGGTGGAACCTACATGAGATGTGAGTGGAGGTGAGAGCGTGGGTGTGATACAGAATTGAAATTCCCAAAATCCTCTTCTGGTGCAGTTTAACAATCCTCCCGAATGTTTGAATCTGCCTTCGTTCACCTGGAAGAATTTTTAAAGGAGCTAATCTGATTCCATACCTGTGTGTAATAAATGACGGAAGGATTCTTTTGTGCCAAATAAAAGAAGGGTCTCCCGGTGGATGTCAATTTGATTGAGGGGCAGAGAATGTGCCTTCATCACACGTCAGACCAAATGATTCAGGGCAGAGACTGAAGACTATTTTGAGCTAAAAGGTGACAGTGAACGAGACCAGGAAATGGACTGTCACTGTCAGAGCCGCACACTTCGACCCACCTGACGGGTGTCACATTAAATATGGTAATTTCACACCAACTCCTGGAACATGAGAGAGATTTGTGTGGAATGATATGCAGCCTGAACTATAACTTTAAAAACTTTTTATGGTGAATTAAAGCTCTTTTTTCTGTCAACTCTCACGTTGTCCAAGAAACAAAGAAGAAAATCTCCCATGGTTCCCAGCTCGGAGAGGAGGCACAGAGGACACCATGGTGAATGTGTTGGTGTAAGAATCCCATTGATCTGGAATAAGACCAGATAATTGCACTTTCCTTTCATTTTGAGTCTGTTTGGATACAAGGACTGAGAAGGATTACTCCGCCTACAGGCAGACGCCCACACTGACAGAGACTGTGACTGTGGAAGAATAAAAGTCAACAACAATAAATGTTCTGTTTTAGACTTCGCTCATACATTTGTAATGAGTTATTGCAGAGATAGGCATTCAAAAAAGTATTTCCTATTCTTGGACACATTGTTTCATGAACTCTTTCTGCTGTTTTAGAAAAATCTTTTTGTCAGCAGCACTCTTGTGTCTTGACAAATTAGAAAATGTAAGTTTTGCAATTTTTTTTGTTTAAGCTTACAGTAACTAAAAGTGAGTTTTCTCCCTGTAAATGACAGCCAATCAAAACACAGTCAAAGTAAAAAAGCCAATCACTGCCTTAGAACTGGATGGATCTTTATTTGCTTGTTTTGTGGGTGTAAATTGTTCAGCTTGCAGTTGTGCCACATTTTAATTTACATTTTTTGACAGTTTTTATCAGATTAAAAAACAGCAAGAAGAACCAAAACCCTTATTAATTTCTTTTTATTGATTATCTGTACAAAATATGTAAAAAAGACCCAAACATTTAACTTTTTTTTTTTAGTTGATTTCTCTCTGCACCTATAAATGTACATGCCTCAGTTACGTGTGTCACAGGAGCAAAAAACATTGGATACCTCTCAACAGAGCAACTCTACACTCCTTAAATCTTCTCTTCTTCCTTTTAGTTCCATTAAGTTTCTCTAAACAGCGATGTAATGGACTGAGGTGAGTCACGCACTCCAAAACCAATTGTCGTGTGAAAGGTTCTTAGAGGGTAAAACATCAGCTGCAAAAGAAGTAGTCCTGTGGTTTTAGGACAAAGATCTACAGTACACTGCCGAAGTCATGGCTGCAGTGAAGGTCTCTCCACAATAAGACCTGTGGCTAATGTGTTTGACCTGCAAAACCACAAAGCTTACACTGTCGGAGAGAAAAGAATACAGTCCACTCATGTTCTTAATAAAGCAGGAGATTGGCTGAAAAACAGGGGGGCCCGAACTGGCTGCAGCACACCTGAGTGTACAGGTTAAATCAACTGGTCTCAGTCTTCAGACAGCTGATTGGTCAAACTGTGTGCTCTTGGTTGGTTGGAACAAAAATGGCAGCTAGCAGGCGGACAGTTTGTGCTTCTTTTTTAGCTGAAGATTTAATCATGTTTTTAAAAGGACTTCTAAATAATGTTTTTGGATTTTAAGTTTTATTTTGTCCCTTTTTCAGTTAGGTTCTTTTAAGCGTATGCGCATATGAAAATATGCAAATCAGTCTTCTCTGACACAAGTTGGTGATTGGTCCGAGTGGCTACCAATAAACTCACTTGTCCAGCCAGCAGTGAGCTTGTGGCCTGTGGTGTTTGTTTTTCTTTCAGCCACATGTTTGCTGCTTAGATTTTGTTTGTTTGGGAACAGAATTGAACGTTTTTTTCTGTTTTTAGTCTCATTCATTACTGGGTGAATTAGAATTGTTGGTAAGTGTGTTTTCCTTTAGATCCTTTGCTTTATTTGGCAGAAGCGAAAATTAGATTAATTGATTTTCTTTTGTATCACTTCAAACATTTGTTTAAAATAAATTCCAGAAGGATTTTAATTCCAGGGCATGTGATCCTGGAGTTAATTTGTTAATATCAAAACTTCACTTGTAATCATGATTCACAATTTTAAAAAGTTATTCTGTTAAACAATTGAACCTTTTTCATTTCTTTTTTTGGTTATCTGTGATTGTATTTCATTTTTGAAATGTAATTAAATTGAAATAGTTCCAACAAGTCCATGTTATGTTCAGGTTAACTTCTCTAATAACCAGTATTCATTTTGATCACTTGATCTTTTTTTAATCCTGAGGAGTAAAAAACAAGTCAAAAAAATGTTCCTAGTTGTAAAAGTGTGTGGTTGGGTAGGAGTAGTGCTGTGGGACGTTCATTCATGTCCTTTCTGTGTCTGTGTCGTTGTCACAGGTGAACTCCTGTCGAAAGCAGAGGTGGTTTAAGTGGATCAGACACACTCCCCCTCGTCCCTCTGTCTCTTCTGCACTTTCTTTGAGGCACTGTTAATTGCAGAGGATGTCTGCATCAGAGAAAGACATTTTGGACAGACTTGGGCTGTAGCGCCGCCACTGCAGTCGCATGGTGATCACATTTTAATGAAGGTATGGGACAGCCAGACGTTTGGGGACATTCCTGTGAATTAGAATGAGTTACAATGCTAATGAAAATTCACAATTTGTATCTGTAGTCCCACAGCCTGACGTGTCCTGAATCCTGAGCCTGTGCTTTAACAGTCAAAATGTCTGTGATTTTTTTTTTTTAATGAAACTGCAGTTTTAAATTTCTCTGGAGGAAATATGGCAGTAGAGCTCCATTGGTTTGAACTGGATTCAAAATGACTCAAAATAGTTATTAAAAATACAACAAAGAGTCTGAAAGTGTGTGGAATTATAAAGATGTTACTGAATTGGACATTTTTTAGCCTTTTGATGTAGGTTGTTATCCAGAAAAGTGGAAAAGACTGAAGGGATCAACAGAAAGAAGAGCAGTGAACGTTTGTTATATTGATTTCATTCTACCAAAAGTGAGACTTTTTTTGTGTTAAGAAAACTGTAGGATGGAAATCTTAATGGCTCAGTGTTGGACATAAGTCACATTTTCACAGATTCATGATTTAAATCAATAGCATGAGTTGAAATGTCAGCTAAACTCAACTCTGTCATATTAATATAACATGCTGACATACAGTAGACGTGGACACTTTATGGCAGCCTTGCGAAGCTGAGGACCCGGCTACATAGACCTGCTTTATTTCTGCACCTGACTGACACTAATGGGTGGAGTATGAAATGAAAGTGTGTGTTCCTGCAGCACCGTGTTTGTAAAGACAAGACGCACAGTTTCTTTTACTTCGCTGAGTGATACTGAAGCGCAGCACAGTGTAGGGGGATAAGTAGTGCCATAAATCAGACTCACCCAATCATTGTGTGGAAAATTGTAGAGAAAACAGAGATGCACACTTGATGACTGATTTTGTGGAGACTTTACTGCCTGAGAAGATGTGTAATGTTGTTTAAAGAATATCACAAAATAACACAATCCTGCAGAAAAATACATCTATCTATCTATCTATCTATCTGTCTATCTATCTATCTATCTATCTATCTTATATTGGTTATAATGTTGAAATCTTATTACAAAAGAGTTATTTTTTGGTGCCTTTTAGGAGTCGTGACTCAGCCACAGCAGCAGTTACAGTGTTTTCACATGTAAATGTATTTTTCAGGGGAAAATTGTTACTTTTAAATAAATAATATATCATAAGATAAGATATTTGATGACACGTAGACCGTCTCCTCTACAACACACACACTTGGTAGAATTCACTTTTGACAGCGTTCTATTGATCATCTCAGTTACACGTCCTATTTGACTAACGTCAGCACCCCCTGTGGAACTCGTGTGGAACTGGTGTTTTCCTAAGATAGGGAGTCACATTTGGTGCGTTGACTTTCCGAGCAATTAGAAGGAATACGTGACTCGTTGTTTTTATAGTTTTAAGTTATGCAGAGGATTGATGTCTAAATATAACCACTAGTGTAACTCCTGATTATGTTTTCTCTTCTGACAGGAGACGCGACGATGAGCGCAGCCTCAGACTTAGTCGTTTTCCTGTGATGAAAATTTCATGTTTAACCATTAGCTGGTGAAAAACTCTGAACCCAGTGTAGGACAAGGATACTGTGTATACTGCATCGGTGTCCTAATGATATCCAGTCTCGTTAAAGTAGCCATGATGTGTCATTCTTACCCTGGGATTTGTTGTTCATTATATCGATACATTATGTTTTGTGTTATTTTAAATTGCACTCAGCTTGTGTAGTATCATGTAGTGGCATTTGAGTTCTGTGAGAAGCGTGGAGCAGCCACAGACAAACAGGCTTTTATTTGAGGTTATTATTATAGTTTTACACCATTAAACTTATGTTGTTTTGTGATTTCAAGATACTACTTGTCCTTTTGAGACAAATAACTATAGATGAGATGTGCAGTTCATAAATAATGATAATTGGATGAAGCGGTGTTACCTAAGTGATGTCATATATTTACGTACATTTTTTAATTTATTACTATATTATTTGTATGAAGGCAAATGCTCAATAGTATCTTGTGTTATACTTGTTTCTCACACATGCTAACAAACAGTAATTTATCTATTTTGATGTGATGAGATCAGATTATCCAATTAAAACAAATGAAAGTACTTCACAGCTAAAGCGCTCCACTCCATTATCTGTTATTGTCTTAAATCTTGGTATAAAAGGACGTAGTATTTGTTCTGTTGTCCTGTTGTCTGTAAGATGTAAGATGACACTTGAAAGACAAGACACACACACAGCATTTTTAATAACAGAGAAACCCACTCATACACAAAGGCAGCAATTATACAGCGTGGATTATTCCGAAAAAAAAAGAGAAAATCACTGAACGTGTAATTATCTGCCTGCACTTGTCCTACTGGATCTTTACGGTCATTTAGCATAACAATTGTTCTGTTCACAGGTGTGGAGACGCGACCAGGCTGAAGCACTGACATGACGGGAAAAACACAGGCTTTGTGTGAGTCAGGTGTGACCTTCAGCGCCATCGAACTTCGAATGTGAAATTGTTATCTTCAGCGCTGAATGTCAACAACGGATTCAACAAAAGAAAGTGATGATCAGGAAAGCTGGTGAGTAACCAATCATCAAATGACCTTTGAGCAAGTACTGTGAATATTTCAGGAGGTTCCCCAGGGATCGGTGTTGGGTCTACTTTCATTTAGGACCAGTGTAACTTTCACTTATTTGCTGATGACACACTGATTTACCGGGAATTACGTGTTGACTGCAAATGTGGGATGACAGAGAAGTGTTCACTTGATGTCTGTGAATTTTTCAATTACTGCAAAGGACTTTCTTTGACTTGGAGCTCTATCAAACAAAATCAACCTGATGATACTTTTTAATATCTTTATTTTGAGATACAGATATTTTCTTTATCAATTACATTTTTCTAGACTGCATTTCAGTTGGTTTATTATTTATTAAAAACCTGTGGTCTAGAACCAGACTTCTGCAGTTAACCTTATGATCAATAGTGAGGCCTGTTAGCATGTCCAACTTCACCTAACCTGATGAAGCAGCAAATTGTGACTTGAAAAGTGTTTTTTTTTCTGGCTGTGTTCATGTTCATTCTCTTCTCAATCTACATTTTTATTCGTACAGACATTTTTCTTTGCTGTATTCTATCACTGTGATACAAAGTAAAATAAGGGATCCTTGTAGAACTGCTAAACGTTATTTACAATAATATAAACAAGTGCCGAATGTATGAGCTCTACCAGACGGGAGAAACAAATAGTCTCTTCAAAAGTTTCAATCGTCTGCGTCTGTGAAAAGTTTCTGAAGCTGTCGTTAGTGCGGTGCAGCAGCAGACAATATGGCCTGATGAATGAGCCAGCACAAATCACCCTGGGATGAAGACCATAATCATGTTCAGGAAAAATGTGCCAGTTTTTTTTAAATAGGCCTAAGGTGACACAGGCTCTGATCCATCTGCCTCGAAATCAGGTCACTGAAAAAATCTGAAGGTAAAGATGGTGGATGAGCTGACAGGAGTGGAGCGCTGGGCTTTTACCTGCTGCCAACCTGGCAAATGTGCAGCGGCGCTGCAGTGAATCACCACTCTGCAGCCGTGTGGATATTTCTATGGCCTTTCTGATTGAAGTCAACAGCCGAAAGCAAGAAAAACCAAAAATTCTGTTGTGTGGAAACTTCAGGATTTTTTTACATATCAAATATAGATGAGATGATTAATGCATGCGTTTGCCGCAACCCAACGAAGGCTCCATTAATTAACCGTTGCCCCCCGGTACTGAGTGTGTTGTTTGTGGGTGGGTGTTGAGTTGTAGATGGCAGGGGAGCCTTCAGGAACCTGATGAGAGCTATTTGGAGCTGCTGCGTCGGCGAGAGCTGCCGAGTCTACATGAGAGCTGTAAGTTTTCACAGGAAACCAAAACAAGTGATGAATAGTTAGAGCAAGAGGGGCGCTACAGGAACTTTCTGCAGAATTTAATGTGTTTTTTTTTTCTTCATTTCCATTTGGGGAAATGAAATTTGTCACTGTTGTCTTCGTCATGACTCCAGATTCTGTTTCAAGACTTACCAAAATATTTACTGTAAGGTAAGAATGGCAGAGATGGTGGGCGGGCCGGTCAGTCAGCCCTCTCTGACCGCAGAGCAGAAGGGGACAGTGGCTGACATTCAGACCTTTGTGGAGGTTGAAAAGATTGGTTTTACATAAAGCTCAGCTGCAAGTGGGAGAGCATCGGAGTGATGCTGTGAGTGCTGCCCCTGACGCAGGTGAGCACAGTTTGAGTAATTATGCCTCTCCTTATATTAGTAGGAGCCGGGGAGATAAGTCTAGAGAGTGGAGCGCAGCAGAGAGCTGGGAGCACACTCTTCAATAAAGTCCATTCTGTACTGTACAACTGTGTCAGTGTCTGGTGTCAAGGGTCACACAGCCTTGCCTGGATTTAAATGCAGGACTCCTCACGCAGGTCAGATGTGTGCTCCCCTGGGCTAAAGCGCTACGTCGATGCTCTCCCACTTGCAGCTGAGCGCCGACCACTGCCACAACCAAACACCCAAATATAAATACTTTAAATACTATATACTACTAAATATGTATGCATATATATATATAGACTATATACAAGGAGACTATTGTATGTGTGAAATTTCCATTTTGTTCCAAAGTGTCATTCCAAATTCAACCCACGCGCTGTATGTTGTGGAAGCAGAGGTTCTGGGGCTAAATCATCTCCCAGCATTGTGTTTCCGGCAGAAAGCAATTACATGGAAGATGCTGAACATAATTGGGTGTGACACATGTTAATGGCATTTTCATTTAGACAAATTCAGATGTACACCGTACAGCTGGGCGAGAGGGCAGGAATCTGAGATCATTGTGGGAAAAGAAACAGCTAGTCATTATGTGGCTGTGTGTGAAGCCTCTGCCAACATCTCACATCCTGATTGCTTACTTGTACGAAGAGGAAAAAGAATAATTGTGAGACTACTTTATCTCTGCCATAGGGTCAAAATTTAATTTTGCGTTTTTTTTTTTAAAGGCATCATTTCATCGTTGGTGCTTTTCTTTGTTGTAGTAAAACGCGGTAAGATGTTTGATAAATGAGCTTTCACATATATATGGAGGCGAAAGGTGAGCAAAGAGCAAAAGGCAACTTTGAAGAAATGGTTTTGTGACAGAGCAGGAAGAAGGAATCGAGCGTAGTTCTGTTTCAAAGGGCAGGGCAGCTCTCACCTGGAATGTGGAGGAGCTGAATAAGCAAAACAAGACGAGCGGTGTGTATTTAAAGGGAAAATATTCCGACTGATTCCCTCTGTCA